TTCCTTCCCTCTCCTACTCCTAATAGGAAAGGGGGGGCAAACCTACTTGGAGTATGATTGCCCCCCCTAGGGCACGCCTCTCCCCTTGGCCGGTCCCCTCCTCCTCCCCCCTTTATATACGGAGGAGGGGGGCACCCCATAGACACACAAGTTGATCTTCGTGATCGTTCCTTAGCCGTGTGCGGTGCCCCCCTCCACCATATTCCACCTCGGTCATATCGTAGCGGTGCTTAGGCGAAGCCCTGCGTCGGTAGAACATCATCACCGTCACCACGTCATCGTGCTGACGGAACTCATCCCCGACACCCTGCTAGATCGGAGTTCGGGGATCGTCATCGAGCTGAACGTGTGCTGAACTCGGAGGTGTTGTATGTTGCGGTACTTGGATCGGTCGGATCGTGAAGACGTACGACTACATCAACCGCGTTGTTCTAACGCTTCCGCTTTCGGTCTACGAGGGTACGTAGACAACAGTCTCCCCTCTCGTTGATATGCATCGCCATGATCTTGCGTGTGCGTAGGAATTTTTTTGAAATTACTACGTTCCCCAACAGTAGATGCAGGCAGGAGTCGGTCTACTTGTCGCGGACGTGATGCCTATATACATGATCATGCCTAGATAATCTCATAATTATTTGCTTTTCTATCAATTGCTCGACGGTAATTTGTTCACCCACCGTAATACTTATGCTATCTTGAGAGAAGCCACGAGTGAAACCTATGGCCCCCGGGTCTATCTTTTATCATATAAGCTTTCAATCTACTTTTATTTGCATCTTTGCTTTTTGCATCTATATTATAAAATACGAAAAATATATTTATCTCATCATACTATCTTTATCAGGTCTCACTTTCGCAAGTGGCCCTGAAGGGATTGACAACCCCTTTATTGCGTTGGTTGCGAGTTCTTTGTTTGTTTGTGTAGGTGCGTGGGACTTTTGAGGAGCCTCCTACTGGATTGATACCTTGGTTCTCAAAAACTGAGGGAAATACTTACGCTACTGTTTCTGCATCACCCTTTCCTCTTCAAGGAATACCAACGCAAGCTCAAGACGTATCAGGCGTCCGGCTTGGCCCATTTTCGAAGCAAACTTATTCCTGATTTGCGTCTAGACGGACTGCGAACGGACCCCATGCACCTGCTCCTCGTCCTCCTCAGACCCGCGTGTCGGCCGCCCACCTACTTCCCACCACCCATATTGAAGACGCACGCATGTGCGAACCCACTTGTCAGTCATCCAGCCTCCCGATCCTCGTCCTTTTTAACCGTTTTAAGTTATCTTAATGTTTATTTAAGTTTATTGTATGTTTTTAAAATACACGGTCCATTTTCTTTTTCCAAATGTCAAGCCGGACAAGATGCGATGCGGCCGCCGGTTGGGTGCACTAGTAATCAGATGCCCAAAACCGAATAATCCGTTTTTTAAGACGCAAATAGTTAAATCCAGACAAAACGGGCGTTCATTTGGGGTCTATAGCTGGAGTTGGCTTCGGAGTGACATCGCATGATCCGCAGCCGGGCGCCTGGAACTCTCGGTACCTGAGAAAGTTGACTGGTAGCACCAACGACTTGGTCTCTTAGAATACTTTACAGTCAGCACCTAGGCAATGCCTCCTGCCTCTGACGAAAAGGATCTTAGTTCTGCTAACGAAACTACTCCCTCCGTTTCAAAATAGATGACTCAACTTCTATTTTGAAACCGAGGGAGTACTTCACAGAGGACATTTGCTTACACGATTCCGAGCCGATGTCAAATCCACCGAGGCAACCCGGCTGGCGAGCTAGGCTGGTGATCACATTCACACGTACGCACATCCCGCCTTCTGCGCAAACAAAACAGCACACCGCAACAGAATTTGAGCCCTCGATTCTGACCTTCCATTTTTCAAATTCGCACAGCTCAGCTGCGAGGCCGCTAGCTGGAAATTAAATGCCAGGTCTTGTTGACTCGCAGTCGCAGGCCAACAATTCACACCTCGTCGGCCGGTCAGCATCCGGCCCGTACGTCCTTTTCCATGGCCGATTGGTCAGCACATGTCTACGTCTTCTTCCACGAGCTCGGCTAAGCTCACGCGCCATGGAAATTTCCCTTTCCACAGTTTTTATGCTACATTCTGCGAGCTCAGCAAACACGTAAACCTCACCGACCCCGACCCGACCCTGTCACCGCCACTCTATAAATACACGCTCGCACAGCCGACGAACCACACCAACCAATCGATCTACCTTCCGAAAGCATGAGTGTATGACCTACACTCGTTCCTAAAAAAGAAAGTATGACCTACGCTCAAGTCATGTTTAGACGCATCATTTGAACCTTTTGCCACAGCTGTTTTTTTTTAACGGAAAATGCTTGGCATCATTCGGCGGATCGCTAGCGCATGTCGACCACATCCACAACCGTCAGATTAACTTTTAATCGTGCGGCACATAACAATTTTTATTATACACATGAGCTTCGCAACATGGCCCTTGTTGCGAGGCTGGTTCTGCCACACGGATTGTGTTGCACAACCAATCCATTGACTGTGCGACTCTTCCATTCTTATCTTTTTATCTCAAACCAAAAAAGCACAACCACATATTTTCCCTTAACCTCGTCTCCTACATCCAGGTCCCTTCCATGGATGTACATCCTCAAGCACGTACCCAAATCCTCTATCGTGGATGAGAAGAGAGAACACCCATGGCCGAATCTAGTTGTTGCAATACTATTGCTAGCTTGGGGAGAGGGGTGAAGCTACCGCCGTCCCGCGCCTCCTCTCGTCGTGCTGAGGACCTAGCTAGCTATTGCGCGTCGTTCATCATGGCCTTGTCGCCGAGGACCTAGCGTGCTGCACCGATCCGACCGGGGCCGACGAGATCCGTCAGCCCAGCCCCATCCACCATCACAGTCATCGGTGTCCTAGCGCTGACATGCAAACAACCACCACAATCCCGGAGGCGGTGCAATGGAGGAAGAGAAGAGACGAGCTTCTACAACAACAATGGTGTTACAGACGGCGAAAGTGCTGCTACGACATCATCTTTCATTGCAAAACAAATTGCGCAACATCATCAATGTTGCAAAAATCCTTTCTGCAACATCATCTATGTTGCAAAAAGGTGAAGACATTTCTTTCGTGCAACACATCCTCTGTTACAAATGTTTCTGCAACATGAGTTCTGTGGCAAAGGCTTCTGCAACACAGGCTTTGTTGCAATAGTGAGGACGGAGCTGGACCGTTGGCCAGATCTAACGGTTGACGAGGCGGCGGATCTTTGTGTAAGATCCGTCGGTTGATGCGTAACACGCCCTTATATTTAATTGCTACCGGAAATATCTATAATTTCCAAGTAATGTCAAACCAAATCTATACCTAATAATAAAGGGGTTATTATTTTTTGCGGCACGTCACCGAAAAAACCCTCAAATTTGCAAACTATTACCCACTGATGCCACCTATAAGTGATAAAAAAAGGTTTCACACAGGGGAATCCCCGCCGGGGCCGACCCAATATTAACCTTCTATATTGCGCTTTGTGCGCTGGAGAAGACACAACGCGCCTGCTTAGGCCGGTCCATGTCCGGGCAGCCTGTTTTTTAAATATTGTTTTCTTTTTCCGCCTTCTTTTTTTCTACTTTAAATAATTTGAGATTTCAAAATGGTTCTAAAAAATATAAAAAAAGAGAATTTTGAAATAAAATATTTAATAATTCATAAATGTTGTTGGATTCAAAAAATATTTGCAATTTTTTAAAAACGTTCACATATTCGAAAAATATTTGCAATTTTAAAAACATATGTTCGGGAAATCAAAAAATGATCATGATTTTTTTGAAAAGTTTGTGTATTAAAAAATGTTAATGAAATTGAACAAAATCTCGCCAGTTCAAAAAATGTTCATGAATTGAAAAATATCCTAAATTTTTTAAACTTTTCGTGACTTACAAAATAGTATATTGATTCACAAAGTTTCCGCTGATTTAGAAAATGATCATGCATTTCAAAAAAAAGTTCATGAATTTCAAAAATTGTTCCACTATACAGTTTCAAAAAATGTCCGTCGATTCTAGAAATGTTCGCCTATTCAAGAAAAATATTTAAAAAATTGCAAATAGTATAAATGTTCATGAATTCAAAAAATGCTCATGATTTTAGAAAATGTCCATAAATCTGAAAAAATGTTCACGAATTTGAAAATTTTCCACAATTTAAGATATGTTCGTGAGTTTAAGAAATGTTCATGATTTTCAAAGATTGTTCATGATTTTACAAAAAATGAGAGTGATAGCGTATCTCAGTGATGCAACAAAATGTGGTCATGACCGTTGGGAGATTGTGATTTTTTTTTCTCCCATTGCAACACACGGGTTGTCTTGCTAGTACTAACTAAGTGTCTATAGATTACTGTCAAACAATCAAGGAATAATTAACAAATCTATTAAAATCAATCAGCTTGTCTGTACAACAAAGTAGAAGACAAATCTTGATCAAAGGAGCAGTCAGTGACATGACAATGGCTTCTTGGGGCGATCAGCTTCACGACGTACGACGAGTTAGCAGGTTCACTTGCACTAAATTGCAAGCAATCAGCAATACACTTTGATCATGATACCACACCAGATCAGTTATAGCACTGCCATAGCAGGAGATCAGCAATACTTGTATTTGCATGTGCAATAATACTAACATGTACTGTGACAACACTGTGAATACGGTTTTATATCCGCGTCACGAGATTCTATTCCTCGTAGCACAACATTCAGCAGATCCACCATCTTAAATATCAAACGGTAGAATGATACTTACTACCCCCTGTCCCATAATGCAAGACGTTTTTGCATGTTAACATAGCTTGAAAAAACGTATTGCATTCTGGGACAGAGGGAGTACTAAATATTATACATTTCTTGGGCAGGACGTAAAGGAAGATTAGGTAATAATCTTCCAAGCATGACTTAGTAATAACAAAGCCAGGAACAGTTCACAAGTCAGCTACTAGAAATCTTTTTGATTTAAGTTCTGGTCCAAAGGAAGACATTGCTGCTGGAGCTTGAACAGGCAAGATAGCCAACTTTATATGGGTGTGCAGAAAACTGGTGTGGAATGCATGTCATGTGTTCACTCCTAAGACATGAGCTGTTCTGAACCGAGAGGCCACTGTCATTGACATCAACTGAGATAATGTATATTCCCTTGCTTCTGTTTCCAGCATATAGGTCGGTGTCGTTCCAGCCCCAGATAACCCTGCAACCATTGAATCTTGTTCGATCAATTACATTAACAAATAGTATTCATTTAAGATCACAGAAATAGGTGAGACGAGCTGTCATACTTGGATTTAGAAGGCCAACAGCCTTTCTGGTTATTATACTCCACAGTATGCGACTTTTCAAAGTCATCCATGCTAAATACTTGGACAGTACCACAAATGCTGGAGCTGGATACAATGAGAATAAAGTCATTTGAAAGGAAATAATCCAGAAAAACAGATTTGTCATCCAGATGTCAGTAACAGTGCAGAATATTTTAATTCTGAAGCTAGGTGCTACTAATGCTAAGAGATGAAAATACCCGTGCAATGTTGCCAGAATATTGGATGAAAAGTCACGGCATAACAGAAACTATTTAAAATGCTATCAAGTTATGTTGATCTGCCAATAAAAAATCTAGCGATATATTCACACAACTTGCGAAAGGTCTAATAGTAACTTATATTTATTGAGTCTAGCCATGACATAATGGTGGTTCAAGAAACATGTTTCTTAAATCAAAGAGGAAGGGGAACCTTCTAAGCAAGTTGAAGGGTAGGAAAAGGTCAGAAATAAAGTACCTTGTTACTGCTAACATGCGGCCACTAGGTGAGAAATAAGCTGACTGAGCAGAATTGTTAAGTTTGAAAACCTTCAGGCTATCTGGCTCCTTCGTTTTTATATTTCTCACATCCCATATACAGGCTGTTCGATCCGTTGAACTGGTAGCAAGCATATGTGGCTTCTCCGGATGAAAATCTATTGAGTTGATTCTGTCCTCATGCACATCCCATGTAGTTAACACCTTACCCACGCGCTCATCAGAAAGTGTCAGGCCACCTTTTCCATCACCAAAATATAGGCATCCGACACTATTCTGCGCTTGACAAAGCGAATAAACAGGCCACTCCCATAAATGGATGATACTGTACTTTTCCTCCTCAAAGTCCATAAGACAAATATCACCCTGATGGCTAGAGCTGTAAACCTGTAGCCAAGTAAATGAAATACACCACAAAATAGAATTACAATTGATAGAGAACGTTCAATGAAATATACAACATCTAAATAACTATTTGCGCACTGGAAATGGGATAAATCCAACCTAATTTAGCTACCTTGACCATGATTAGCAGATGCACCTATTGGATGACTCTAACGAGGAGTCCCAAAATTAAGTACTCCACACCAACTTCTTTTAGATGATGGAAGCTTTTATTGAAACTTACGCCACACCAAGGAGATACAGCTGAAAGAATTGAAACCCCACCATCTACAGCTAGGATACACAGAGCCACATAAAAGAATAAGGGAATAAATATTTCTCAAGGCTAGTCTAGAAACCGGCAACAACGAAGATTAACTAACATAGAGATAGAGGATGATTGGCTGCTTAAGGCTGACAAAACCGATATAAGCACAGCGATTGGCCCTGTCATCTTCCATCTTCACCCCACTGCCCTATGTGTCCTGTCACCACTCACAGCCATGCTGGAGCCACCCAACCAAGCCTAATGTCCGCCTATCCCCGTACCTCATCGTAGAGATGGCCACAGCTCAGGCAATTAACTCTTAGTATCCACTATGCAAACGGGGCAAGTACAAGTGAATCTCTTGTATAATCTTTGTTTTGTTAGCCACAACAAGAAGTTCCTTAGATCAGTTGATTTGAAAAATACCATCATACATGACAAATTTATAATGATGAATGTACAGTTCTAAGAATCACTATCCTGACAACTCAAATGATAAAATATTACTTGATTTATCATAAAAAAAACATGGAAAAAGAGCGGAAGGAAGAAGGTCACCTTGTGTGGTGCCGCCTGGTGCGCCACGATTGCTAACACAGGGCCCTTGTGTGGCCAATAACGGAACACCCCATCTGCATCCTCCGAGACACCGTCGACGTCCCAGTACCCAATATTCCCCATTCTGTCGCCCGCCGCCACCACGGTCCGGTCGGCGAGCGGAAGGACCCGCATCGACACTATGCAACAGGGCATCACCTTCCTCGCGTGCGCGGGCATCAGCACCATGTCCCTCCCAGCATCGAAATCGCCCGCCGCACGAACCTTGGCCCCCTCCGGCGGGGGAACCCCGAGGATGGAGGAGGCGAGCGAGGGCGCGAGGCGGGTGCTTCTGAGATCCGGGGGGAGGTTGTCGGGGGCGACGCCGCGGGCGCGGCCGGAGGAGCGGACGGGGCCGGTCGGGGCCGTGGGCTTGGGCCTGGCCTGATACGGCCGCTTAGGTTTGGCGAGCCGGATGGCGGCGGAGAGCTCGTCGGCCTTGCGGCGGAGGGGGGCGAGCTTTTCCTGGTTGCGGCGGATGTTCTCCTGGCGAAGGCGCTCGTAGTCGTTGAGGCCGTCCTCCGCCATTGTTGGGGGAATCTCCTGGTGGGTGTGGGAGTGGGGGAACGAAAGGGTTTGGACTTTGGAGAGCGCGGAGAGAGAGGGGGGAACGGCGGGAGGTATCGCAGAGCGCGGGGAGAGGAGCGGCGGCAAAGAAGAGCGCCGCACAATTTTGGGGACAGACTTTTGATCAGACCTCCGAAAGATTTTGGTACAACTTGGTGTGGTTGGATTAAAAAACTTCTTTACAATGACAGTGTCAAACTGAATAATGAAAAAGACCCCTATTTCCAAAGCCACAAGGGGGTGCGTCAAGGCGACCCCCACTCCCCTTTTCTCTTTAACCTGGCAGTCGAGGCACTGTCAAAAATGATCCGCAATGCGCAGAAAGAAAAACTCCTTACTGGGGGCTTCGGATCTTATCAAAGATGGGGTAGCCATCCTTCAATATGTAGATGACACTGTCATTTGCCTGGAGCATGATAAAAAAACTGCTATTAATCTGAAGTTGTTGCTTTATATCTTTGAACTCAGGGCTTAAAATTAATTTCCTCAAAAGTGAAATCCTATGTGTTGGAGGGGATGATGATACTCTAGCCTTCTATGCAGGCTTGTTTAATTGTCAGATTGGTCATTTCCCAATGAAATATTTGGGCGTGCCAGTCAGCTATTCGCCCCTTCGTAGCCTGCACTGGAACTTTGTTCATGAAAGATTCTTGCACTGCTGCGAGTCCTGGATAGGCAATGCGTCCGCATCAGGAGGAAGGCTTATCCTTCTGAACTCCTCCCTTACCAGCATCATCTACTTTTATATGTCCATGTTTCTGCTGCCTAAGATGGTTATTGAAAAACTGGACAAGCACCGTAAGCGCTTCTTCTGGCAAGAACATGAGGGTCGCAAGAGATATCATCTGGTCAAATGGTCCAGGATATGTAGATCTAAGAACAAGGGAGGACTGGGGGTGAAAGACCTCCGAAAGCAGAACATCAACCTTCTCACCAAGTGGTGGTGGAAACTGGAAACACAGCAAGGGCTGTGGCAAGAAGTGATCCGAGCGAAATACTTGAAAAAAGATACAGTAACTTCGGTCAAAAGCAGATTTAGTGATTCCCCTACCTGGAAAGCTATTATGAAAGTAAAAGAATATTATTTGGCCGGTCGTAAAGTGGTTTTGAAATCGGGCAATATTGCCAGGGAGTGGAAGGATCCCTCGCATGACGAGCTCCCTATGGAGCAGAAATACCCTATGTTGTATAGCATTTGTAATAAACAGGAGATCAGGGTGGAAAAGTTTAGAAATGGTGTGGGGGTGACTTCTTCCGGAGACAGCTTCATGTAGCACTGTTAGATCAGTGGAATGAACTCAATGTCACTGTTAACTCCTGGGTGTTGTCGGAGGAACCTGATCAAGTGGTTTGGAACCTGGGCAAGAAGAGAAAATTCACAACCAGGTCGGTTTATGACTATCTGGAGAGAAACATAGCAGGAAGTAACTATAAGTGGATCTAGCAGGCGAAAATCCCTTTGAAAATTCAAATTTTCATGTGGCAAACCTTCCAGGATGCTATCTTGACTAGAGATGTCATGAGTAGAAGATGATGGGCTGACAACCCCAAATGTTCCTTCTGTTGGAACAGAGAGACCTCAAAACATCTGTTTTTCACGTGTCCTGTGGCCAGGGTGGTCTGGAGGATGGTGGGTTGTGTTCTGGGTACAGACACTTGTCCGAACAATATATGGCAATATTTTTCGTGGTGCTATGTTTTCCTTCCTGATGTGGGAAAGTTTTACACATTCGTGCTTGCAGCCGTGTGCTGGGCTATTTGGAATTACCGAAACCAAGCTACCTTTGAACAAAAAAATTTAAAGACTCCTTTTGCTGTGATTTATTCTGCTTGTGGCTTCATCTCTTATTGGGCAGGGATGATGACTGGAGCGGACTGGGAGGCGATGGAGAGAGGAGCCAAAATGCTAAGAGCCAGCACATCAAGCATGATGAGGATCTGCGCGGCATCAGCCGAGAGGGCACAGGCCTGAGGGAGAAAGATTGTTGCCTGAGCTGGGTCATGTCAATTTTGTTTTGGTCCTTCACCTTGGTCTTGGTCTATGATCATGCTGCTCCTGTGTGAGCGTTTCACATTGCTCCTGCGTGAGCCCTTTCGATGTCGTAAGACTTCGCTGGATGTTACCGTTTAGGACTAGTTTGTGTTTGGGTGTCCTTGGGTTTTCACCCCACGGTAAGCTGCTCGATGACGGGTGCTTGCAGTGGGTTTCCCAAGGATGCGTTGAACTCGCTTTCCCCTTTCTTGTTTCCTTAGTGTCTACAGTGTGGGAAACTTTGTATTTCCGTTATGTCAAAGTAATGGAAAGGGGTTATGCCCGGTTCAAAAAAAAACGGGCCGGCCCGGCACGTGCTAATCATGCCTGGCCTGGCACGACCCGTTGTGGCACGTTTAATAGCTGGGCAGTGTTGTGCCATGCCGGCCCATGGGCGCTGCTCCTTGGCCCAGGCACGGCCTGAATAGTAAATAGGGCGGCCTGATGGCCCGTTTAGCATGCTGGGCTTCAATTTTTCAGCCTATTGGGCTGGTTTTTAGGCCTATTGGGCTATATTTTAGATGTAAATATAAAAAAATTCTGAAAATTATATAAAAAACCTAAACGGGCCGTGTCGTGCCGGCCCGCGTGCCCAGGCTCCAGGCCCAGGCACGGGCCCAAGGCGTGCCGCATGCCGGGCACGGCCGGTTTAGCCCGTTGGATCCAGATCGGACGGGCGAGAGGGGATCGGGGGCTATTGGCGGCGGCGGTGGTCGACGGTGGCGAGGCGGATGGCGGCCGCGGTGTCGGCTTGAGCGGGGTGGCGGCGACGGCGGCTTGCGGGGTGCCGTCGGTGGCGGGGTGCTGCACGAGCGGCGGCGGCGGTTTGCGGCGCGGGCGGCAAAGTGCGGCGGCGGCGCTGGCGACTAAGTGCGGCGGTAGCGCGGGCGATGTGGAGGAGAGAGGGGTTGGGGGCTCCGGTATTTAAAGGAGACGGGGGCCTCGGCTTGGAGGAGGGGGCAAGGCGGCGGGGACGGCGTGGCTGAGCCGGACTTGGCAACGGCGAGACGGGCGGCGGCCGGACTCCTGGTCGGAGTCAGTCGCGGGCGGCTGGGCCGCTGCCTGGCGGAGCTGGGCCGGCCCAGTTCGGTGGAGACTTTTTTAAAACATTTTTCCAAAGAAGAAAAACACACAAAACTAAAATAAATAAATATCTAAAAATACTAGAAAAATTCACATATTAATATGACCTTATTAATGACCTAGTGAACATTTTTCTGGGCCTAAATGCCTAAACTAAAAACAAACTTATTTGTATTAATTACTCTGCAATAAAAATAAATAAACTTGCAAATAAAATCAAATAAAATATTCAAAAAATCAAAATTCAATTTCTAATATTTCTTTGCTGTTGTTGAAGAAGTCCTTTTATCTTCTCTCTTTATTTTATTTATTTGCAAAAATAATTGGAAAATAATTTTGAATAAACAAATTGACCCAGTTTTCCAAATTTTGATAAATCAAAAATGGACTTTTTTGGAAACCTCCAACTCTCTCAATTTGGTCCTTGAGTTTCTTAAGGTCTCTTGGATCAAAATTCAACTAAAACAAATGAAGCAAATTCATAAATCATGATCTATAAGTAACATCCAAATTGAAAATTGGGATGTTGCAAACCTCCCCCCCTTAAGACAAGATTCGGGTTGGTCAGCAAAAAGGTGTGGGTGGTCCTTGTGGAGATCTTCTTCGCGCTCCCAGGTGGCTTCCTCCTCGGTATGGTGACTCCACTGAACTTTGCAAAACTTGATGACTCTACTACGAGTAACTCGGCTGGCAAACTCGAGAATCTTAACGAGTTTCTCCTCATAGGTCAGCTCACTCTCCAACTGAATTGCTTCTAATGGCACTGTATCTCTCAGAGGAATATCGGCCATCTCTGCATGGCACTTCTTCAATCGGGAAACGTGAAACACATCATGAACTCCTGACAAACCTTCGGGTGATTCCAACTTGTAGGCAACTTCTCCCATACATTCCAAGACTCTGTATGGTCCCACAAGTCGTGGTGCTAACTTTCCTTTGACTCCAAATCGTTTAACTTCTCGAAGTGGGGACACACGAAGATATGCTTTGTCTCCGACTTCATAGGTTACCTCCTTGCGTTTAGTATCGGCATAACTCTTATGTCTGGACTGGGCTATCTTGAGTCTATCACGGATCAACTTGACCTTCTCCTCAAAATCTCTGATTAAATCTGGTCTGAACAAACCGTACAAAGCTTCAAAAGGGCCATCTTCAAACTGGCTTGATAACTGTTGTTATATGAGAACTCTGCATAGGGTAAATTATCATCCCAAATAGATCCATAATCTAGCGCACAAGCTCTTAACATGTGCTCTAGAATTTGGTTGACTCTCTCGGTCTGTCCATCTGTCTGCGGATGAAAGGATATACTGAACTCTAGCCTGGTACCCAAAGTTTCATGCAGCTGATTCCAAAACTTTGAAGTAAACTGTGCTCCTCTATATGATACGATGGTCCTCGGAACTCCATGCAGACATACAATCTTGGTCATGTATATTTTCGCCAACTTAGCACTGGTATAAGTGGTTTTCACGGGGATGAAATGGGCTACCTTGGTCAAGCGATCAACTACAACCCAGATGGAGTCATAGCCTGAACGAGTCCTGGGTAATCCGGTGAAGAAATCTATGCCAAGTTTATCCCACTTCCATTCAAGAATAGGCAAAGGCTGAAGTAACCCAACTAGTTTCCGATGTTCTGCCTTAACTCTCTAACATACATCGCATACTGCTACATACTCGACAATATCCTTCTTCATCCCTGTCCAGCAGAAACTCTCCTTCTAGTCTAGATACATCTTGGTGTTGCCTGGGTGAATCGAGTAAGGCGAATCATGAGCCTCCTAAAGAATTAACTTCCTGATCTCAGGGTCATTGGGCACATAGATTTGATCCTCAAACCATAA